GCCAGTGCTCTGGTGTTGAGTCTTTTATTCCTTCCTCGGTACACGCCCCTAACCACGCCCAAAAGTGGGCCTGGCTAGTGGCGTAGTTCCTCCGCTCTGTGTCTAGTCACGCCCAAAGTGGGTGTGGTTTGCGGTGAGGTTCCGCCCTTTCGTTAACCACATCTGTATGGGTCTTTAGAGTCTCACATGGCTAATGATGGAGTGCTAAGTTTCCCCCTACAATTCCCCTTTTAGTCTAAAAAAGATATTTAAACTTAAAACAAAACTAACTTGTATTAATGAACAAAATGTCTCAAACATCTATCCCATCTAAACCTAAACTTATCTGAAAGAAACACCCAAGTCTGAACACCTCCTTCCAATCCCAACTCTAAAATAATTGAAAACTAACACTAACAGCTGTAAACTGTCCTATAATATCAATAGTAAGGAGACTGGGTGCTCTACAAGACAGCTTCATTCAAGCAAGCTAGGCAAGGTCACAGTCTCAAAGGAACAAAGTATCTACGTGCCCTGGTGAAATTAGTAGTCAACTCTGAGAACACTGAAGTTTTATAACAACTCTAAGCAGTCAATGAATAGAAGAGTCCGGGAAACAGAAATTCTGAAGGGACCTGACTCATCAAGACGTCAGCCAATCACACGTCTTCCTTCTTTGACCCACCCTACTTGTTGCCTTTGGGGGTGGGGAGATCAGTGGCTTTTTCTGAGTCTGCCCTCTTTCACCAGGTCCCCCGATCAATCAGAATCCTCCATCTACATGCAAATTATCAACCAGGTTCACCTCAGCTTGGTGCTTAATTTGCATATGATCTAGACCAAATTAGCATATTCCCAAAATATAGAAGAGCCTTGCATCCAGCATTGTACCTGGCAGCCCCTTTCTGTCTGCCTATCCCCCTAGCCCTGCTCTATTTCTCAACGAACCCCGCCTGCCGACCCTCATTCTGTTTCTGTTGTCCTCACACATCTCTCTCAACCATGAGACTACAAACTCAACTTGACCCAGGGAACCTGTAACGTTAGACACTAGGTGGTGTGTGCAAATGAATGACCATTAAGAGGGCTAAATATAACCCAAGACGATCTGCTTCCAGATTTGTGACACTCCTACTCTGCAGTCTCACACTGGTCTAGTAAGTCACCCAGCTTGTAGAATCCCTAACGTAGGCGGTGGCTCTTTGTCTGGACACACTTCCAGCTCACGCAAGGCAAGAGCTCTACCACGGAGCTCCGCCCAAGCTCTCTTCCGACTCACTTGTCCAGATTGTCCTTGAACTTATTCTGCAGCCCCAGACAGATTTCTACCTTGCAACGCTCTTCCCCCAGGCTCCTGAGCAGCTGGGACTGCAGTCGTGGGCCACCAGAAACGGCGCCTAGGATGTCCTTTTGTTTATCCAGCAGGAAGTACTGGCTGTGTGCAAGACATTGTACAAAACCCCAGGGAGTGGGCATAGAGGGGAATAGGGAACAGGGTCAGTGTGATAAGAGATGGCTTAAGGAGAAGCCTCAAGGAGCTTGTAACGTTAAACAGAAGATAGCAAATATTACAAAGTACTCATTTGGTGGAAACCACAAATAGGGTTCTTAGTGCAGCAGATAGTAGAAACAGTACTTGCTCTGTCCCAGCTCCAAGCCACTTCCCCCTTTGGTAACGCCTCAGAAAGGTAGGTCCACGATTGTGGTGGGTGCTACTACCATCCTCAGATAAGAGACTGGATGAGCCAGGAATAATAGGATGCTCTGAGAAGGCATTTAACACCCACCCTGGCATTAATCTGACCCACAAAGCTGGGTGTTTTGATTTTTCCGTGGGTCTGCTGTGAAGGCTGGTAGGAACTGGAGAATTTGTTAGCCCTAATTTGCTTGTGTAAATAGAGAAGCCAACACATCACAGTTCACTATTTGCCTGGGTTATCTCTGACCGCGACTGGTCTAGTGGACACATTTGTGCACTTCAACCAAGTAGGAAAATCTTCTTGGCTCTACACTCTACTTAGAACAATGCTTCTAGACTTATCTGGACTTGGGTCTGCTCACAGGTCTGTGTGCAAGAAGAGATAAGCTGCCGTGCCCTGGAACCGATGCCAGAGCTGGAGTCTGGAAGCCAGCTGAAGTATGGAAATTTTCTAAACTTTAATGGAACTTTGTCAGAAATCATTGTTTGGGTTTTGAACCAACCGAACAGAAGAGGTAAGATTTTTTTTCCTGAACTAACTTTATAATTAATTCACTAAGAGAGGTGTTAAAATATTTGCATGAAAGGTTTAAAAAAAAAGGTGAGCCATAACACAAAATACAAAGAAAGGCTCTGTTTCACTTCAGAGCCCGCATTCCAGTGGAGAAAACTGGCAAAATGAAGTTAATTAGATGTTTACCATGCAGATGTTGGCAGCTGTGGTATTGATGATGACTGGTCACAACAGAGGAAAGTACAGGGGCCTGGACTGTAAGAGTGTATACAACACAGGGAAAGGGAGGTTTCCGGTTTTAACAAGGATGTCTCTTCAGAGCCTTCCTCGGAAGGCACCGTTAAGTAAATACACACAGGAACTGAGAGAGTAAACCATGGTGGTAGCTAGGGCAGGAATGAACAGGCAGAAGGGATAGCAAGAACATACCCCGTGAGGTAGAGGTAGGTGGGTGTGCTGGATAGTTTTATTTCAACTTGACACAAGCTAAAGTCATCTGAGATGAGGGACTTCAACTGGAAAAAAAATGCCTCCGTAAGACTCAACTGTAAGGCCTTTACTTAACTCGACATCAATTCAGGAGGGCCCTGCCCATTGTCGTCATGGGTTCTATAAGAAAGCAGATTGAGCAAGTCGGTGGGCAGCACGCCTTCATGGCCTGTTTGAGATCCCCTGTCCTGACTTCCTTCCACGATGAACGGTAATGTGGAGCACAAGTCAAATAAATCCTTTCCTACCTGATTTGCTTTGGTCATGGTGACGGTGTGTGTGTGTGTGTGTGTGTGTGTGTGTGTGTGCGCATGCAAAACCCTAACTAGGACAGTGAGCATAGGACAGTCCAGACAAGGGCAACTCTCCTTAGGAAAAATGTGTTTACCTTTCTGGTAGAGTACTATCTACCCTCTTAGAGGTAATTTGGGGTCAGGCACATCTTGGTAGGAGAAATAAGTAAGGCTGACTTAAATCAATATTGGGCATAAGCAAGCACAGTAAGAATGAGTCTGTCCTTGAAGCCATGTGTTGGGGGGAAAAATCATCCCCATTTACCATCCCATGCATGCTTATATGCGTAAAAGTATGGGATTTGCGGCTTTCACACGCACAGATCAAAGTTATGTAGCAGCCCATATGTCAATCAGCATAAGGATATATACCCCATTCCCACCCCAGGAAATCAACTCCTCCAGACTGAGCTCATTAAAAGAGCCTAAAAAAGAACCCTGGCTCTTGAGACACATGTTTGTTCGAGCCTGTTCTCGTTCTGTGGAATGCCTCCCTGCTTTTACTCCTACTTTTAATAAACCGATGCTTTCATTCCTGCTCCGTATGTCTGTCCAGTTTGTTGTTTGAACACAGAGACCCTGGACATCTCATCACAGAACACCCTGAAACCCAATGTAGTAACACATTCCAGGAACAGAAGAACAGGCCGAGGTGATTAAAATACAGAGGGTAAAATCGAGTGCTGAGGCCAGCAGCAAGGCCAGGGAACACGAGGAAGACTGTGTAAGCCTCTGCAGGGACTGTAGCTTTACATAGAGTGGTGTGAGCAGTCATGCAGGGATTCCGAATAGCAAACCAACAGCATTTTCACGTGAATCTTAAGAGAATCACCGAGAGTGTTAGATGAGGACTGGGCTTTGGGGGAGGGAAGGAGTGAGACCCCAGAGAGACCTACTTAGGAGGCTAATGCTGTTACAGGTGAAGATAACGGCGGAGGCGAGAAAACACAGCCAGCCTTGACATATTTTGGAAAATAAAGCTGGGAACATGATCAAGAGAGGAGTGACAGCTGACCCACTCATTCCTTCGTGTGGTTTCCTCTCTTTGTGTCCCTCGCTCTCTGTGAACCTAGACCCTTCTGTGCTGGGCCCTAAGTCACAGGAGGCACTCAGTAAATGCTTCACCTTTTGGCTAAGCACTGTCTCTTCTACCAGAAGAGATGACTTTAGGAGAATTGTCTTGGGGTGAGGAAAGAGTTGGAGTTCAGTGCTGGACATGCAGGTTTATGGTAATAAGTTCAGTGACTAGCAGATGGGATCCCCAAACCGGGAGTTCAGTGGAGAAGTCCAGCTAGACATACACAGGTCATCACCAGCATCAGGATGGCAGTTAGAGGCACAAGGTGACAGGGGAGCACTAAGAAAGATGGACAAAGGGAAACGGGAAGAGGGCCTACACTGAGACCTCAGATACTCCAGCATTTAGATGTTCTAGAGATGAGGCCTAGTATGGTGGCAATGCCCATAATCCCAATATACAGGAAGCCAAAGGAGGAAGAGGATCCCCATGAGTTCAAGGCCGGCCTGGACTGCAAAACAGGAGCCTGTCTAAACACCCCTCCCCCGGCCCCTCCCCTCCCCCAAACGCACAGATCACACAGAGATAAAGAACTAGCAAAACAATTGAGTAGTTTGGAGCAAGTTAGGAGACAGGGATATCAAATGAGATATCCTGGAAGCAGATGTTGGACTCTGGCTCATAGACCAAATAAGACAACATATAAGAACTAAATACTGGAGTTAGCAGTAGAGTGGGGGACAGAGGTTTTGACTGAGGCTTATGGGAAAGGTAGGGCAAGACCCTCTTGCTCACAGCCGTGGGAGCAGGGGAGGGTAACTGCAAGTCGTTACAGGAAACTCTTCCAGGGCTTTTGCTATAGTGGAAAAGAGAAAAAACAGAAGAGTAGAAGCATGACAGAGTCTAGTGGAAAGGACCTGGCAGAAAGAGAAATCCATGATGCCAAGCGAAAGAGAATTGCTAGAGAAGCGCTCTGGAATATATGAAAAGTAAAAGGCCTAGGCCGCATTTTCAGAAGAGTTGGCTTTGTTAAATTTATTCACAGTAACAAGAAAGCTGAGTTTGGATGTACTCTGTTGGTGGGTGGTGGTTGTGTTGGTGGCAGCTTATTGAATTCTTTTCTTATTGTTGTTTCCATTTTCTCGGTGAAAAGGGCAACAGCTTCCAGCGTACCCTGGAGTTGGAGGTTTAAAGAGAGAAGGAAAGAGGTAGATAATGTAGGAGAGTAGAAATGGTGCGTGAATCACAAGCTCTAACAGTAACCTTGAGGGTTGTGATTATTGATTTGTATAATGCCCTGTGGTTCACAAAGTATTAGGTTATCTGAAATAAGCCAGGTTGGAGGAAGGGGAGGCAAAAAAAAATCATTCGTTCCGATTTAGAGATGGCGACATTGGCACTCTTAAGAGACGCCACGATTTGGCAAATTCACATAATTGATGCAGCCTGGCTCCAGATCTTCCGACACATGGTTTACTTATTTCACTCCGTGCTGCCCAGGGGGCTGTCAATGGCATGAGAACACAAAATGACTGAAGATTAGACAGCAATGACCTCAGGATGCTTCAGACTGGCCCAAACTACTGGAAGGAGCTAGGATTTTCAGGAGAAGAACAATAGGAAAGGCACATCAGACAGCAAGAGTTAAAAAGAAAATGTGTGAGGAATAGTATTAGTCAGGGTTTTCTGGAGGAGCAGAACTTATGGAATGAATCTTTCTCTAAATATATATAGAAAGGGGATTTGTTAGAATGGCTTATAGGATGTGGTCCAGCCATTCCAACAATGGCTGGCTATGAATTGGAAGATCCAAAATCCCAGTAGTTGCTTGTTCATGAGGCTGAATGTCTCAACTGGTCTTCGGTATGCTCTGGAATCCCAAAGAAGTAGGCTCTAAGCCTATGAAGGAACAGACTTGCTAGCAAGGGGAGGGCAAAGCAGGCCAGGAATGAAAGCTTCCTTCTTCCAAGTCCTCATGTAGGCTTCCAGCAGAAAGGTGTGGCCAGATTAGATCTGGATTAAAGGTGTGTCCTCTCACCTCCAAGTTCTGGATCAGTAGATCTTCCCATTTCAAGTTAAACAGAAATCTCTCACGGGTTTGCCCTCTCTTTTCGGGTTTTAGTTAATTCCAGATGTAGTCAAGTTGACAAACAAGAATAGTCATCATGGGATGTTTGCAGTAATAGACTGACTAGGTTGATATAGGGCAGAGATAGAGATAGATAGATAGATAGATAGATAGATAGATAGATAGATAGATAGAGACAGAGGGGGTGCACAAGGCCCTGGGGGTGAGTGGGGTAGTAGGTGAGACTGAATATTCAGATTTATAATTTATGTTGGATACAAAAGCCCTGACAAGCACAGCCCAAATCTCCCCATGGCAACAGATATGTATATGTAGGGAGGGAGGGAGACAGACAGAGGCCTCAAGAGCAACTCGATGTGTCCATGGAAGGATCACAGCAGTGATCTGAAGTAGAAAAAAGAAAAATCGTAGTTCTGTGCTAGTTAAGAAGCAAGGCATGGGTGTTAGGTCAAAGCTTGCAAAAAAAACAAAAACCAAAAAGCAAAGGACTATGACCCAATGGAAGAGACAGAAGGTATTTTCTAGAGATAAGCTCTCCATATTCATTGACTTGGTACACGTTGATTTTCATTACCATTTCTATTGCTTGTGTGGTGTAGGCGTCTGTCACTGCGAAGTCAAAGGACGGCGGCTTACAAGAGTCCCGTGATCTGGGTCCTGGTCTGTAGGGGAAAACTTAGTACTCCGCCATTAGCCATGTGGTGTATTAGAGGCGCATACAGATGAGGTAATAAAAGGGCAGTTTACCGCACTGCTAACCACACCCACTAAAGCCGTATATAGGCGGTGAACTTCGTCACTAGCCAGACCCACTTTGGGCGTGGCTAGGGGCGTGTACGGAGGAAGGAATAAAAGACTGAGCAGCAGAGCCTCTTGCTCTTTTCAGCTTCCAGTTTCGGTGGTGGCAGAAAACATCACTGGTCACTGTCTCAGTTTGGCCGCTGGCACCTTTGCGTTGCTGTCATCTTTCCAGCCCCCGACTTCACAGACGTTTATTGAGAATCAGGACGTTATCCTGGCCCTGCGGAAGTGCGGCCAAATGGCGATACTACCCTCGTGGAACTTGTACTCTAGCGAGAGACAGAGACACCGCCAGGAAACTGGCTGCGGTTGATGCTGCAAAGAAACATAGTTTCAGGTCGGCGAGTAGAGAGTGACAGCCGAGGCCCAGAGAGCCTTCTCTGAGACGGTGGGAGCATTTGAGTAGAGTCAAGGAGGAAGTGGGCAGGCTGCACAACTGTCAGGGAAGCACATTCCGGGCAGAGAAAGAATCCAAGAGCAGAGCTGGGCCTGGCATATCTCCATGAACGCACGAATAGCTGGAGAGCAAGTGGAGGTGGGCGGGTGGGAGACGGGGACCAGACCACAAAAGCCCAGGCAGGGCACACTGACTTCTGATGTCAGTCGGAGTGTGTGTGTGTGTGTGTGTGTGTGTGTGGCGGGGTGGCCAAGCAGAGCCTGAAACCAGGCGGAGATGTGTTCCTGCTGCTTTAGAAGGACCGCATGCCTGGAGAGTGGGACCAGGGGCGAAGAAGAACTTGAGGAACAGTCATGGATGCCGGACAGGATGCTCAGGAGCGGGGAGCAATGTGGGAGGGGGTAGTGGATGACGCTGGAGGAAAGAAACTTACCAGAGAGCGACTGGGACTCTGAAGACTCCTGGATGAGGGGAAAGGAGAGGACCGTTTCAGGAAAGTAAGATCAGCTCCAACTCAGGGTCCTTCCGAATTGCGGAAGCAGGAGGAGGAAGAACCCCCTGGCCTTCATCTAGAATGTTTTTGTTTCCCTCCTGCAGATCCGTGTGGAATGGCTGCCAGGAAATGAGTTGTGGATATTGAAAGCAAGTCCTCTTGGGGGGGGGGGGAACCTGATTTGGTGTGTCTAGTTCATAACAGCAAGTAGGATATCCACAGACCCGGGTACAGGTCTAGAAAGGAGGGTCTCTTGCCCCACACAGAATGTGGTTTTTAAGGAGGACACCTAGTCCATTTCCCCATGGGGGGCTACTCTCTCAGCCTAGATACACGGAGGAGCGCCTAGGCCCTGTCCCAAATGATATGACAGACTTTGATGATTCCCCATGGAAGGCCTCACCCTCACCATGGAGTGGATGGGGGGAGGGTGAGGTGGGGTGGGGGACATGGGAGGATGGGAAGGTGAGGGAACTGGGTTTAATATGCAAAATGAGATTGTTTCAAGTTTTAAAAAATATTTTAAAAAAATAGAATGACACCTCCCAGCATCCTGCTGCTCAGCCCCAACTCCACGCTTTCCTGGATGCTGGAGATGGGGGTGTGAGGGTGCCTGTACTTGTTTCTTCTCTCTCATCTTCATCCCTCTAGGTAGGTTGTCCTTCTGGCTATCCAGTCTGCACAGTGGCATTGAGCTAAGAGTCTCCAAGTCCTGCTTGGGTCATGGTAGGTCTCTTCTAAAGATCCCCAGGGTTTCTCTTGCTTAGCAGAATGAGAAGGAACTCTCATGTCAGACATAGCCAAGATGGCCTAGCTTATCTTTAAATACAAAAAAAAACCCATCTTTTTCTTCTCATACTTTTGACTATACTGTCCCTCCAGACCCTGTCACCAATCTGTCCCTGCCCTTTGAAAACCTACCCAATTTTCAAGACCCCTCTTTCTCTCTCTCTCTCTCTCTCTCTCTCCCTTCCCTTCCCTTCCTTCCCTCCTTCCCTCCCTTCCTTCTTCTTTTCTTTCTTTCTTTGTTTTTGTTTTGTTTTTCCAAGACAGGGTTTCCCTGTGTAGCCTTGGCTGTCCCAGAACTGGCTCTATAGACCAGGCTGACCTTGAACTCCACCTGCCTGCCCCTGCCTCCAGAGTGCTTGGATTAAGGCGTGTGCCACCACCGCTGCCAGGCATAAGATCCATTTCTATTACCACATTTCCCTGATGGTTTCCAACAGAAGTCATCCTCCTTAAAAGCCCACTACAACGCACACATTCCAGTGGTGCTTGCTAGATAGACTCTGTGTTGGGACTGTAGGTGTGCTTGCCCGATTCTTTCCTTCCTCCTCACAATAGGCTAAGCTGAACAAGAGCAAAATTCTCTCCTCTCCTTTTTTTTTGATATCTTCTGAGGTCCTCGGAACAAGGCCTTGAACATGCCAGGCAGCTAACAAACACTGAATTGGATTGCTTTCTGAGAAAAAAGACAAAGGAATTCTGAGAGAAATCTGACTGTGGGAAGAGAGGCTCTAAGCAAGCATTCACAAATGTTGGAATGTCCTGGAAGGGGGGGTGGATAAACAGAAGGACAGCCAGTGAGATGTAGGCATGGTGGGCAGAAAAATCACTGGCACAGAAGAATGGCCCAGGCATCCTCCTACATGTGGCCCTGCTCCCTGGACCAGGGTGTTCCAGCCTATAGAAGTTACAGGTGCCGCACTCTTATTCAAATCTATTCGTACTCTTGCTCTAAGCTCTTCTAGGTGTCTCGGGGAACCCTCTCAGCAGTCAGTTTCACACAGGAGCCACGTGATCACAGATCAACTGGCCTACTATATTCTCCAGACCTCTGGCCACCAGGCAAGCTCTGGGTCCCCCTATCCCCCGCCCCTTAGTGGATTTTGGACCATTCATCGCTGAGAAATTGGCCCCAATCTGTGAACAGCACCTAACTGTCAAAATAAGTTGGCACACATCCTCAATCCCCAGCCATTTCAGCTGTGATAAGTGGAAGGGCCTCTCCAAAGCCTGATACCAGATGCCCCCTTCTAGATACGGTGCAGAAGCAACTGCACAGGTTTTCAACACCACAGCCCTGGGGATGAATCCTCACTCAGTGGGTTGTCATAGGACCCAGACCCTGAATTTTATTTTATTATGAAGCGGAGATTCATGTAGCTCAGGATGGCCCTCATAACGTACTGGTTAGTAATAAAGAGCCTTTCCAGGCGGTGGTGGCACACGCCTTTAATCCCAGCACTCCGGAGCCCAGAGGATCTCTGTGAGTTCGAGGCCAGCCTGGTCTGCTGCTCCAGTTCCAGGACAGCCTCCAAAGCTACACAGAGAAATAAATAAGTAAAATAAAGAGCCTTACCCTTCCCCAGGGTACTTCATGAGGATCCCCTATACCCTGTGAGGCTGGTGTTGTTAACGAGTCACCCCCATTTTATAAGAGAAGAGAAGTCCCTGCAAAGGAGGTAGGAAACTTGTTTAAGGTCTCACTGTCAATCAGCAAACCAGAATTTGTAATCAGGCTTCTCCTGTTCCGGTTCTGCCGTGTGTTCACTAGAAAATAAAGGTTCCCCCTGCCCCAATAAGTGTGGTAGGGATGTGGGACTGGGTGGCACAGACAGTCTAAATAAAATTCCACACAGTTCTGGCTGGTTATTGCTTGCTGTTACCTTAAAGAAATGAGGACTATACAAAGGCAGACATTAACTTTTTCTTTTTCCTACAAGATTTATAAGGTTTATAATGATTGAGTGAAACTTTAAAACTTATAAAAGTGCTCAAAGAAAATAAAAGGACAGAATAATCCAAGTACCCTAAAATTAGACTAGAAAAACCAAACTGAACTAATAGAAAAAAAATCTATTTATTCAATGCCCAAATTCAACAGCAATCACAGCGTTGCTACAATTTGCTTTATTCTGCTCCTTTCTCCTTCCTCCTCTTCCTCTTCCTCCTCTTCCTCATCATTACCTGGCTGAAAGCCTTGACATTTTAACATGTTAAATCCCAGACATAACGCCCTCTCCTCCCTCCCTACTTCTGGATGTCTTGGAAAAGCATCTTTGTGTCAAAGGAGGCAAGGCCACCTTAAGCCCAGAGCACAGCAGACGTGCCCAGGCACCCTGGCCAGGCTGTAAGGTGAGCTCTGGCACCAGATATGGCTTCTCGATCCACGCTGACTGGCAAACATATTTGTGCTCCTTCCAAGCCCTTTGACATAACTGCGTGTTGATTCAGCCCGGTTGCACTCTGTCAGCTGTTGTTGGACGCCACCCTCGCCTGCTTTGAAACTCTCAGAAAATCAAACAAGGAAGCAGCTTCCAGGCCCCAGGTAGGGCCGCTGGGCTCCTAACGCCCTCCCCGCAGTAAGACATAGAGTAGAATATCTATCCCTGTCCCTGCCAAGTCTGGGGCGCGGTGATGCACCCAGAAGGAGGCAGCCGGGTTTCTAGCACATGCCAGACATTACTGGCTGTTAGTTGGGTAACCATATGTATAATATCTGCTTCACTCTGGGCGGCGGGGGTGGGGGTGGGGGGTGTAGCAGGGGGATAGGGGTGGGGCGGGGTCCACTGGTCACACTAGGTGAGCAGAGCTCTGATTCTACTTCTACAGAAGGAAGGAGGGTAAGGAGACGGGGGCTCTTAGTGTTCGTCACATCTGTCTTTCCCTGCATGGCACCAAGCTGATTGATGTACCCACCATACCCTACAACCGAACCAAGAGCCGCGAACCTGGAATTAGACAGGCTTGTCTGTCGGGCTCATCCTGTCCCGCTTCATGGAAAGCCTTGGGTGGGCCTCCTTCGTCTTCTCCAGGCCAGCAGCCCTCCCTCCCTGCCTGCCCTGGCAACGCATTCTCGTGAGGCTCCAGAGTATTAGACTGGGATTCTCCTCATGCGCTCTGCTTATCCATTGTCCAATGTGAGCAGGGCGTAGGAGCCCTGGTTCTGGCTTACATCACCCTCAGTTCTATTTCGGGTTAGACCACAGCGCGCATCTGTGAACCTCAAGTCCTTGGGCAGAGCAGCAATGACCAAGCCCTGACGCATATTTTCACAAACACCTACTACTTTTCACTTTCAAGTCAAGAGACAGACGCTTGACTGCATCGTCACCGCCACATGAGAGCTTTGGACTTGATTCTGATCCGACACCCGTCATCAACTCTCCTAATTAAATTCCTCTCTCACAGGATCACAACCCTGTTTCATGTGGGTGACTAGGGACTGAGATAGCCACTCGTACAGCTAGATTTCTGCTCAGAAGGGGAACTGATATCATTTGACATCCCCGCACCACCACCCGCAAGCCCTAAATTGAAAACAAACTACAAATTGCATTAATTATAGAGCAGAGGCTATGTCTTTATGATGCTGGAACCAATGCTCCCCCAAATTAGTTGCTTAGTTTATTATATATATATATATTTTTTTTGTAAAAGATTATTTGTTTGGGGTTCCTGTGTCAGGACAAATGACAGAAATTTGTGTTAGTTTGAACTGTAAAAGAGACACGATGAGACCACATGAGGTGCTTAGGATGCAAAACTAAGGCGCGATGCTATCAAACTCTGCCCTCACACAGCTGCCAAAACTAGTGCTTCCTTATTTTTTCCACCTTTGCCTCAAACAGAGGGTGGCTTGGGGTCAGTTGGGGACAGAGTTATCCTCATATGACTCTGGAGTGTCTCATAGGCCAAGTCTTGGGGATTCTAACCCAGTACAGTTGGGTGGGGTTCTGGCGTTGTTTCTCATCATCTTCATCACTTAAAATGTACAGTTAGGTTTGGGAGCCATTGGCACAGAGTTTAGAATACCACAGTCGGAAGGTGATCGTTCTAGTTTAATTTCTAACATTGTGATTAAAAAAGAAAACTGACCAGAACAAACTTGGGGAAGGAAAGGGGTTCATTTGACTCATATGTGACAGTCCATCACAAGGCAAGAGTTCGAGGCAGGAACTCAAACAGACGTGAAGAAATGCTGCGTACTGGCTTGCTCAGCTATTTTTCTTATAGAACCCAGTTGACAAAAGATTAGCCAACACCGTGAATTCTCCCTGGAATTAGGTATTACCGGATCTAATTCTATATATAGGATTGTATTTACCTGTAAGTAAAAATAAAATCCCTGGATATTGGCTTACCAAATCAGAGTTTTTATTTTCTGAAGTCTGCATGTCCTTCACTGCAGATAATAGTCAAAGTCTCTGTGCTCTCTTGGACTTCCCTCTGCCTGTTTCTTGGTCCTCCTGTGATGCTGCTTCCAGGGTCCATCCCCTTCCCAGAGCCTCAGAAAGAAGCAGAAGTGTGGGATCAGCCAACTCTGATCTCGGCCGCTTTGTATCAAAACAGGGAAAGTCTTGCCACGGCTGATCTCTGCGAGTTCGAGACCAGCCTGGTCAACAAGAGTGAATTCCAGGACAGCCTCCAAAGCCACAGAGAAACCCTGTCTCGAAAAACAAACAACAACAACAAAAGGGTAAAAGACAACCTCTCAGGAATCTCATTGACTAAAAAGCACGTGACTACCTGTCGATTTAAGGGAGCCTGAGAAAACACAGAGCAGGTTCACCACAGTGGGCTTGGTTCTTCCAGCATTGGAATTCCCAGAGAACTTGTTAAAACAGAGATAACTGGGCTCCACCCCTTAGACATGCCAATATGGCAATCCTAGGCTAGGACATAAGAATTCATATTACGTGACATTCATACTTTGTGCAGCTACTGGTCCTAGGAAAACAGTTTGAGAACCACTGACTTCCACTGATGCCTTTCACCAGAGTAGATAAATAATCTGGAGAGCATTTTGGGGGGCACATGGAGGGGGTAGGTGGTGAGACAGTCTCATATAGCCCAGGCTGGCCTTGAACTCCTGAGCTTTCTGTCTTACCTCCTGAGTACTGGGACTACAGGCATGACCTCCCCCCACCTCCCCCCCACACACACCTGGTTTCTGTGTGTAATATTCTCATCTGGACCAACACCAGCAAATAACAACATGGAGACTTATTATTAATTCTGAAAGCTAGGCCTTAGCTTAGGCTTGTCCCACTAGCTTTTATAACTTAGGTTAACCCATTTATATTAATCTAAGTTTCTCCTCGTGGCCTTTTGTCTTTCATTCTGTGTGTCTGGACCCCCCCCCCCATAACCCCTTTCATATCTCCTGCATGCCTACGTTCCTCCTCCTCTTCCTTTCTCTCTCTGGAAATCCTGCCTCTGCCTCCTGCCTAGCTATTGGCTGGTCAGCTTCTTATTACACCAGTCACAGCAACACACCTTCACACAGTGTACAGATATCCCACAACGGAAGCGTGTGTGTGTGTGTGTGTGTGTGTGTGTGTGTGTGTGTGTGTGTGTTGGCAATGTTGTGTTTCTATTGTGTCACACTTTTTTTTTTTTAATTTTAAGATGGGGTTGCTTACTGAATCTAGAATGCACCAATTTGGCTAGCCAGGCTGGCCAAAAAGCCCTAGCAAGCCTCCTGTCTCCACTTCCTCTGTACTAGGATGACAGTGAGTGCAACAGTGCTCAGCTTCCTTCCTTCCTTCCTTCCTTCCTTCCTTCCTTCCTTCCTTCCTTCCTTCTTTCCTTCCTTCCTCCCTCCCTCCCTCCTCCTCCTCCTCCTCCTTCTTTCCTTCCTTTCCTTTTTTTGAGACAGAGGCTCTCTCTACATGGCCCTGGCTGTCTTGTAACTCACTGTGGTGCAGGCTGAGAGCCTTCTACCTCTGCCTCTTGAATGCTGGAATTAAAGACATGCGCCACCACCGCCCAGAAACATTTTTTTTTAACATTGGGAATGGGGATCAAATTCAGGTCCTCATACATGTAGAGCAATCACTTAAAAGACCAAGCCATCTCCCCAGCACCCGGAGAGCACATTTAAAACTACAGATTTCTTGGACCCCACCACTAGCTGTTCCAACTTAACTCCTTTATGGAGTTCAAGCATCCTTACTGTCAAACATGATTTTAAGTGTAGCAGGAAATGGGTGCCGTTACTTTGGGCAAACCACAGCCCTTTATCCAGAGCTGTTGTCAAGATTCTATTAGTAAGAAGGAAGAGAGAAAGTAATGGGCCATGAATTCTGACTGTGATACCCAGATCTGTCTGCATTTTTGGAACACTTGGGACTCCGTAAGAATTCCCAGATACCGGGTACATCCCAGGCTACTAATTTGCCATGGGTGGCAGTGGGGAATGAGCAACGGTTTTTGATGAGCCCCAGATGGTTCTAATAAACAGACAAGTTTAGGGAACCCTGGGTTAAGAGGAGATCGCCATGAAAATGATTACATTTAAAAACGATTTTCAGAGGGAAGTGTGAAGGAATGTTATTGGGATGGGAGAGAAAGTTGATTTATTGGGTTGCTGCTTTCAAGTATGTGAGAAGAATCCAGGAAGAATGCTGCTGTCTCTCTGAACCAAAGAGCAGCAAGGAGGAAATGGGATCAGAGGGGTCAGAACCCTTGGGTTAGAGACAAAGAAAAGTTTCCCAGTGGCAAGTTGTCACAAAGAGACTTGGTGTGGTGAGGATCAAGTCTGCACAATCCTGTCCCTGAAGAGCTGTAAAAAAAAATTAAAAAATACTATAGATTTTCATCTGTTTAGAAGGTTCTATTGCCATTCTTTATAAAGGTGAAGAGGTCCATGACGAGACCTGTCTAGTTTTCTTTGAAAAGTTTTCAATTTTACCCCTTGTCTCATTTCACGCCTCAACGTAAAAGGCAGACCTCTGCATAAATGATTCAGAAAGAACATAACCCCTGCCTGCCTATCTGCTTGGATGGATAAGATGTCTGACAGCTAGTAGTAGGTTTCGATGCTTCTAGCACAGACGACCTGGATCTCTAAAAGGCTGTTTTGGGCTTCAAGATGACAAGCACACTGCCAGACGGAGGGGGCCATTCACATTTAATTTAAACAGGTTTCTGTACTTGAAATGTTAACACCATATTAAGGATGATTCACCATAATATCTGAACTCTGACACACACACACACACACACACACACACACACACACACACACACACACTGCAGAATAGTTATTTTCATGCCACATAGGAATATAACTACATTTAAACTGCTTTCCTTTATGCAGGAAAATGGTTCTTGAGCATAGGGCCTGTCCTCTGAATCATCCTTATTCCTCTTTGGCAAGACTGGTAATAGGTTCGCCCTGACCACACCTGATCACTTGTACCAGCGATGTTCACTGACCCCAGTACAAGCGCGTCAACCACAGAGGAAAAAGTAAGAGGCCTTTGGTGGCGTGAACTATAGTAAGACTTCACCTGTATTCATGGGTCTTGGGTAGAGGATAACGTGATATCATTAGTCCGGTGATTGCCAAAGGCTGCGGCACATCAGAACCACATGGGGCACCTCACTCGCCTGATGTCCAAATTCTTACCTATAGCATTTAAGCCAGTACGACTGGGTATGGAAGACAGACGTCGGTAGTCTGTTGTTTTGCTTCTTTGAGATGTAGTTCAGGCTGGCCTTGAACTTGGAATACTCTTGTCTCAGTCTCCTAAATGATAAGGTTACAGCTGTGAGCCAACACACCCGGTAGCATCAGGAGTTTTTACAGAGACTCATGCATGTCTTCTATGGAGCCAAGTTTAAGAACCACTGTTCTTTCGTTGTTATTGGGGTTTTGTTGTTTTGTTTTGTTTTGTTTTTGAGGCAGGGTTTCTATGTGCAACCCTAGCTGTTCTGGAACTCACTCTTGTAGACTAGGCTAGCCTTTGATTAAAGAGATGCTCCACCACCACCTGGCTGAAAATCACTGTTTTAATCACCTTATCATGGGGCCTAGAGTCTTATAGGAAAGTGTGTCTAAGATTCTTATTCAAAAGTAAGTGTAGAAATTAAGCAAAATGCTCTTCTTGTTGAGTTTTTGGCTGTTAATCCCTGACTACCTTTCTCTGTTAAAAACAAACAAACAAAAACAACAACAACAAAAACCCAATTATTAGTTAGCTCTGCAGAATAAAGACACTTTCCCCAGATTCCTTTGCAAGAAGGCCATGGCCATAGTCTCAAATTTGGGCCCAAGGGATTAAGCAAAAGGATATCAAGTATTCGTTCTACCCTCCAGAATCTAATTAGCTGGAATGCAAGCATCATTTATATAAAAGCAATGAGATGGCTTAGAGAAAATACAAGCCATGCAAAGCAGGGGGGGCCAGTTCCTAGCCCTGAGCTTGCAAGGTCTCAGACCAGGCCTGACTGAGTATGCCGGCATTAGATGGGAAAAAAATAAACTGTCTTATGCGTATGGTCTTCCATTAAAGTTGAATTTAGGTCTAATGAAGCTATGAGTTCCTGATTTCATTATATATCAAAACACTTGGAGTGACAAAAGCTGTCAAACGAGAGGCCTTTTGCCGGCAGGAACCCAGAACTGTCCCAGGGCAGGCAGGAACAAAGGCTAGATCTGGAGTATTGCTACTGTCTCATCAGTCTCTGAGTTGATGGGGCTGTCCAGATACTGGTCCGTAGCAGCTGTCCTCAGCGTGGTGAGGGAAGAGCACCTCTGCCACCCACGACTGCTCAGTGCAGTGTATCAAAGCCACAGGAGTAGCGACCCTCTCACTCCATCGAATGCTAGAAGTTCACACTCACCATGCTGGAATCTGGGTCCAAGACGTCTCATTCCAAGCAGATGCAGAAGCCCACAACTAACCAGTGGAGTTGTGGAGTACAATCAAAGTGAGGGAGGAGCAAAAACAAAAAATAAATTTAAAAATGAAGAAAGGAGTCAAGACTGTGATGGGGAAACCCACAGAATCAGCTGACGGGAGCTAGTGAGAGATCACTGGCTTGGTTCTGACAAATGGGGAATCTGCATAAGACCCAACTAGACTCCCTAAATATAGGTGACAATGGTGTGTGACCGGGACAATATATGAGGCCACTGTCAGTGGGTCCAAGACCTGACACTAATGTACAAACTTAGTGGAGCCCATTCTGTATGGAGAGATACCATGCCCAGCCTTGACTCGGGGGTGGGGGGGTGAGGGTGGGGGATGGGGTTGGGGGGCTAGGGGGTTCTCGAGAGGTGCCTTGGTCCTGCCTCTAGGAGATGATGGGACAGGCCTTACCTTCTCTGTGGAGCAGATGGGAGGAGGGGGGAGTGG